ATCGTTGTTCAAGCGAACGCTCCATCGCGCTATGTTACAAAAGTTGAAAACACACTTCAAGCGGAGGCATGTATCTCCCCTCACACTGCTCGAACTCAACTGACGACCGGATGGATTGAAAGAGCATATCCCTCCACCACATTTCTCTCAGTTTCACCGTGCTGCCATCTATTGTCGCGTCACAATAACATTATGCTTATTACTTTCATAATGTACCCTGTATATATACATATCGTGTATTCTATGTAAACGGTGTTGTTAGGAACTGAAGAGAGGAAGAATGTACCCAAGTCCTACCTGGAGAATTCAGTCATAGCTGGGATCCCTCAGATTGCCAGATCCGACAAATGGATATCACGTCTTAAGACATTTTTCTTCTTGTCTTGTTGGGTGGGATTCTTCTACCAGACTTTCGCCTATCTACAGCTGGTGTTGAACTGCCCCATGGTTCTCAATATCGAGATTGAGGTCTCCGAATCCCAACCTCTACCTGCCGTCACCATCTGTGCGACTAACTGGTGAGTTTGATTTTTTTTTAAATTACAGTAGAACCTTCCTATAACGGATACCTAATCACAGAGCCAAAGTGTCCTTTAAGGAGAGGTTTTCTCTTACCGGAGAGTTGCTAAATACTAAAAATAGTCATTTTGCAAATGAAAACTGTACTTTGTAGAGAGGTGTTTACTAGCACGAGTGTCCTCTCATGGAGATTCTACTGTATTTCCTTTTTTTTCTCAAGAACATGTCATCTTGGACTCTTACTAAGAAATTTTAATCCATTATTTTAACAATCAAGGTCAATATTCTCTGTTAGCTAATGGGTAGTCCATCTGATATTCAGACATCTCTCAAGTATTCATTTTTTCAGTATGTAAATAGTAAAAACAGAATTATATTTCTTTACACATTAATTGTAGAAATTTAATATTACAAAATAAAAATTAACTAATAGTTATAAATAAATATATTTTTATTTTAACTTTCATATTTTACAATTTTATAGATAACATTTTAAATATATTACTTGAATGATTCATATTAGAATATGTTTATTTTGGAATATTTTCATTTGTAATAGAAAAAATTAACTCCATATGTGTTACACACATAAGTAATATAGCGACTTATTTAAAATATAAATAAATCAAAATTTTAATTTTAAGAACTCTGAATGCCGGCCAGGCAGCCTCTATCTTTACAAAATGTTATTGTTTTCTAAAAAAATAAACGTTTTAATATAAATGACATTTTTACAGTATTTATAAGACACATACAATTATGATCATTATTTATTTATGTTTTATACCGAGCAATCCATATTAAATCCTTCGCTAATAAAATAACATATTAAAAATAAAGAAGGCATCTCCTGACCACGAGCACATGTGCTTTTTAGATGGCAGAGCGCCATCTAGTGGAGAAAGAATAAACTAAACGTTTATTTAGCTTGCTCCGTGATATTTGGCCAACCCAATTTCTTGACAAATCAAGAAAAGCCATTCACGAACGCGTTTCGCGCTGTATCAAAATTCTTGTCGGTTTACGCCAACCTTTTTCAATATATAAATACAAGTAAATACGATGTTACACCTTGACAAAGGTTGTCGTTCAACTAACCAAAATATTTAATACATTACTCTTTAAATAAAAGACACTTAGGCCAGTAAATCTTTTTATTGTCTCGACGTTTCGGCAAAAATCTTTTGTCGAGACAATAAAAATATTTACTGGCCTAAGTATCTTTAATTCTAAGAACTATGAATGCCAGGCAGCCTCTATCTTCACGATAATACATTACATAAACATGTTATATAAAGATATTATTTTATTTTAAAATTATAATTACTAGAAAAATTGCTCTGTTGAATCGATCGCCAGAGGTCGCACTTTCCTTATAAAAACTCATTGTTGTTGTCTTCCTGGCCGACTGTTTTACATTTGGAATTACAGAAATATGATGAAATTGGGTTCCTCCATTTCGGTGACTAAGGAAATCGAAGCACAGGCAAAATGGCTTCACTTTCGAACAGCCGCTGCTCGCGCTGTTGTGGCGCGTGATTTTTGAAAATTGGCAGGTCTCCAAGCCAAGGGCGACGCTTGCGTTTGCCACAAACCTGGAGAAAATATATTGAGTTTTCAGGATTTTATGAGCAAAGTGTCGAAACTTTTTTTTATCAGAGTAGTATATTATCCTTTATTTGATCCTAATATGTTTCTGTAACAATTGATTAGAAGAATCAATATAACTGTTTAAATTGTATCGTATATATATATGTATATTAGAAGTAAACATAAAATAACCGAGAAATATATTAGAAATCGAGTTTCAAATTTTGAGTTTAGGTTTGACATCTTTAAAGTCGTTTTCTAATTTTTAAATCTGTTAAACCCTCAGAGAAATGATCCTGATTGTATAATCCTTTATTTCTACATATTTTTCTTATTCGGAGACCTATATCTTAGATTTCAGAATGAACTCCATAATCTATTAGTTTTTGCTTAAGCTTCATCTACCCTCACATTAATCTTTATTTTTTTTTTGAAAAAAAATAGTTCTTTAGAGAATAAAATATCAACAGTATAAAAATGTGTTTGAAATTTAACCCATAATATTTTATAATAATACTCGATTATTCTAGTGTTTAAAACATTTAAACTTTTCATAAAGTGAAATATATACATGTGTATTAGTCTAAAGCACAATATTGTGATTATAAATAATACGTTTTTAAAATAAACTTCACATTCTTTTCGAGAAAAAAAAGTTCAAATGTAAAGTTTTGATAAATACTTCTTAAGAAATACTAACCAAGTAAAGAATCTCATGCTTTTTCATATACTTTAACAACAGAACAAACATTTCTGTTTCAAAAATCAAATAATATATTTAAAAATATATAACTGTATTTGTCTAATTGAGTGTGCGTTTTTGTTTGTGCTAGGTTCGACAAGTACAAATATTGTGAAGATCACCCATCCCACTGTGAAACTACTGAAAAAGGAGAAATTGTAGTAATTATTTTATCATTTAATATATAAAAACACCATCAAATATATTTATACTAATGACTTCATAAATTTAGAATCATCTTCAGATTCAAAGATATCTGTAGAATGGCAAGGAGTGAAAAAAAGAACTTCATATAAGCAAATTTTTGATTTCATATAAGTAGAATCATAGGCCTCAGAGAAGGTGGAATTTTGACTAGAGAAATTTCTATGAAGGTTGATTGCAATCGAAATATTGTTGTAAGGGTTTAGTCTCAGTGGTTAGAGGGAAGATAAAAGTTCAAGAAAACCTGGCTCAGAGAGAGAGGTCGCCCTAGAGTAATAACAGAGAGAGAAGATAGGAGTATTCGAAGGATGGTTGTAGCAGACAGGACAAGAACTGCACCAATGATTCAAGCAACTCTACATGTACAGAATGAATCTGGACCACCTCTGAACACCATTAATAACTGTCTTATCGAAGCAGAACTCCGTAGTCGCCGGCCTTTATTGAGAATTCAATTCTCTGCCAGACACAGAAGCTCAACTTGTGTGGAGAGATACCTCTTTGGGCTCGAGAATGACATTCTCTCTTTTTTTATGATTGGGTTTATGACGCGCGGTAGGACACATGTTAGACATAGGCCCAAAAAAATCCCAACAGGACTGTATTATGTAAAGACATACAGCAAGAACCTCTGCTTCATGATGAAGGGTGGCATCAACTATTAAAGTAGGACCCCTTTAGTCTTAATCAAGGTACAATGACTGTTCAGCTATACATTGCAGATGTGTTGCAACCTGTTGTATTACAAATTCTTGAGTAGACTAATAATGCCATTTTCTAACAAGATTATGCCTTACCACAAACAACCAACATCTCACGAGCCTTCATTCCAAATGTTGACAGCCTTTCCTGGCCCGTTTGTTCTCCAGATATGTCCCCAATTGGGCATATATGCAACATGATGGGGAGGAAAATTTGGAAATCTTCAAAGCCAAATAATCTTTAATAGCTTTGGCAAAAAATTGAAATGGCTTGGCTAGCATTCCACAAGAAGACCTATAACAGAATGCCTCACCGTGTCGCTGCTTGTATACGTGTCAATGGAGGACACACAAAATATTATTAAAGAGCTATGTATCTCAATAAATCATAATCCTCTTTGTAAATTTCAGTTATATTTCACATTACCATTATTTTCTCACCGATTTTCAGATATTTTACCTAAGTATTTCGAGGTGATGTAATTTTTGTTATGGGGGGGGGGGGGGGGCAGTGTATATTTAATAGAGATAATATTATCTTTCTCTCCAAAAATATGCAAATATTGGTACTGATATGCTATAAATGATCATATTAAAACAGAATAAAAATTGTGAAAAATAGTAAATGGGGAAAAATGTGATATTGTACCGGGATAAGGTACATAAAATAAAAAAGAGGCATCTCCTTATCAGCAAATAGTTACTTTTTTTTTCAAAATAAATATTATTTCAACTATATATTCCTGAATTTACGTTCCTGTTTTACGGTTTATTTCTCTTGTTGCCTATATGCTCTTTATGTTTATTTTCAGTCTCATCAAAGCTTGAATTTTAATATTTTAAAGTCTTAATGATATATAAACATTGTCTGAATTGTATTTAGAATATGTTAAATGAACCTGTATGTACAGATCAATAAAAAATATTTGCATCATCTGAAATTCCACGCTTCGAAATCCGATTTCGTCAAGTACGGGACCAGCATCAATGATTCCCTTGTCCTTGAATTCTGTGCATGGAATTTTAAATCGTTTTTAAAGTAAGTTCCATATTTAGTTCATCTTTTATTTTTTTTCTAGTATTTATTAATATAAAACGACACTAGAAGTTACACCGCATGAGTTTCTTTTCAACGACAAATTAAAATTTTATTTCAAGGTGAAATTTCGACTATTTCTAACCTTTTTGGATGAGGTATGAAAGGATGAATTATGAAGAGTAATGACAAACGGAAAAATAAAAGTGTCCAGGGATGGGAATCGAACCCACAATGTTCCGCTTACCGGGCAGATGCTATGTCCATTAGGCCACCCTGGACGTATTTTTTCCGTTCGTAAATGATACATAAAGTAACTTATAATACAATATAATACACTGCGGCCTGTGATTGTAAAACGACACTGGAAGTTACACCACATGAGTTTCTTTTCAACGACAAATTAAAATTTTATTTCAAGGTGAAATATCGACTATTTCTAATCTTTTTGGATGATGTATGAAAGGATGAATTATGAAGAGTAATGACAAACGGAAAAGAAACTCATGCGGTGTAACTTCTAGTGTCGTTTTACAAACACAGGCCGCAGTGTAGTATATTGTATTGATTAACATGTAACTAAAAAGACACTAAAATGCTCACTTTTCACTTTTAAAATAAATAAAAACAACAACTATTTTATAGTGAAAATGATATTCATGTCCAAAAGGTACAACTTTCAAATTTAAATAACACAAAACTTTAATGATATTTTTACGTATTAATATCAGTTTCCCTTAAAAATTCAGTACCTAAATTGTGTGGGATTTTTCTTATTATATCTTTGACACAATATTTAGTATTTATATTCTTTAAGTATATATATATTTGGCAAACACAGATAAATATGTTAAATTAATAGATTCCTCTCTCTCTCTCTCTCTCATATAAATATTACCTTTTATATTATCAATAATCACATACAGTATCGTATATCATTTTTCTTAATTACTTAAACTACCTAGAGAGATTTACAAAATTAAGTTTAAAAACATTTAAAAAGTATACTTGAAGCTAAAAAAAATTATATATAGGTAAAAATTACAGAATTATCTGATATTTATTCACATAATACAATAATTTGATTCATATAACTTGGTTGAATGATTAAACTATATGAGATTTAATCATTCTCTTTATCCGAACTTGCTCTGTTTGCACATCATAAATGTTATTTTTTGAATAACTTTCTACATTTTAAAATAAATCTGATATAATGGCTTTTATAATGCAATATAATGCGGCTTATGATTGTAGAACGACATTTGAAAATTATCACTCACGTGTTTCTTTTAAACGAAAAATCGAAATTTATTTTAAGGAGAAATAACGATTATTTCTAACCTTAGGGATGAAGTAAGATAAGATGAATTGTGAATATTAATGAAAAACGGAAAAATAAAAGTGTCCAGGGATGGGATTTTTCCGTTTATCATTACTCTTCACAATTCATCCTTTCATACTTCATCCTTAAGGTTAGAAATAGTCGTTATTTCTCCTTAAAATAAATTTCGATTTTTTTCGTTCAAAAGAAACACATGCGAGATAATTTTCAAATGTCGTTCTTCAATAATGGGTTTATATATATATATTTATTCTATTGTAAGAGAGAGGGAAAGAGACAATTGACAATTAACATAATTTTATTTACATCTTGTCAATACAGGTCAAAGTGCACAGTCCACACTATTTAGGTTATGATGAGAAATTTACAATGTAAAAGATAATGATTATTAAACGAATATATTTGAAGTATAAACTATATACAATGACTATGTACATACCGCCTCAGCCATTGCAACAGAACTTGGTGGAAGATCGCTAGCGGGTTTCCAGCGACACCACGTATTTTGCGATTAACGAAGAAAACATAGATCGCATGTTTTGCCGCTGAAGAGATGGTGATGGCGTGGTCCTCGAGACCCACCGCGAAGATCCAAGACTGCAGGTCCGATGATGGAGAACACCTCTTGGATGAGAGGGCGGACGGCGCTTCAAGACTAGTATATTGACACAGGAGAATTCCAAATTAGAGTTGCCATATGGATCGATATTAACAGAAATGTTGTTGGCCAGTTTATGAAAAAATTCACTATAACTGACACCATCACCAGAAGACCATTTATTATCTAAAAGAACTAAACATAAATATAATCTATAATACAATATAATGCGGCTTATGATATATTGTAAAACGACATTTAAAATTATCCCGCGTGTGTTTCTTTTGAAGGAAAAATCGAAATTTATTTTAAGAAGAAATAACGATTATTTATAACCTTAGGGATGAAATATGAAATGATGAATTGTGAAGAGTAATGATAAACGTAAAATAAAGTGTCAATCCCATACTTCATCCCTAAGGTTAGAAATAATCCTTATTTCTCCTTAAAATCAATTTCAATTATTCGTTCAAAAGAAACAAATGCGGGATAATTTTCAAATGTCGCTTTACAATAAATATAATCATAATAGAAATATTTGAACTTTTATGGAAGAAAAACTAGATTTAGCGACTACGTGTATATGCCAGAACAACAAAAATTACTTACACCTTAATTACGCTACCCTTTCTTAAGGGTAATACATACCGATAAAAAAACTTAATATATATGAACATAGAAATTAAAATTAACATAAAACACATTAGAAGCAAGAAAGGAACTTTTTAGCACGCTCATTTTTCATATGAAACCATTCTTTTTGCCTATATATTTTTACTATTATAAATCTCTATTCTTTCTATAGATATTTCTATTTCTTAACCAAAAATTCCTCCCAATGTAAGATATAGAAGTAGAATAGTCAAATACAATTTTAAATGCAGATATTCCACATTAGGTATGGATGCTTAAAAAGAAGAAACACCTAAAAGGATTCACCAGTGATAAGCAGAGAGACCCCTTAATGTATTTTACTTTGCAGGAAGTGTTACATTGGAAAAATAAAATGGTCGTGCGCTAAGTATGCGCTAATAGCTTCATGGTGGTGGTGGCATCCTGATCACAATACCGGCCAACCGAGGTGCCTTAGTATAAGTCCAACCCTTCCTCTACGTGGCGGACAGGAGAAACAGTACAAGTAAGGGACTGCCCTGTAGGGTGAAGTATGGTGTTGTGAGCCCCGAGCCGCTACGGTGACCGTGAACAGGGAACTCTGAAATGTGGCTGACTAACGGGGCAATGTCATCCTCACTTTCCATGGAACAAGAAAATCAGTAGTTTCATTTTTATATAATAGAGAAGAAATAACAATATCTTGCAGAGATACAATTTGCTGCGAGACTGACCAATTTTTATCGCAGAGACAACTTCCTGGAGTATCCTATGATGACTGAGACAGGAGAACTGGCCGAATGTTTCATACTGAACCACCAGCTCTTCCAACATAACAAAGAAGCAATCAAGTTACCTTTACCGCCAAGTAAGATATCAACAAAGATAACTTGAATTAATTCTTCATTCAACAGAATATTGACTAACCTGCTATAGAATTAGGTAGATGAAAATATAGGATTAGACTCTATATTATAAACTTAATACTTAATAACTTAATTATATATATATATCTTCCTTCTTTTAGGAGATAAAATTGCTATAAAGTATAAAATAAGAATACAAACCGTAGTAATACGTTTCTTTATTCGTTTAAAGTGCAAGCTTTCGGATTTTTATAATCCTTCTACATGCATCCTGATGATCCCGAGGCATCCAGATGCCTTAAGAAGGATTATAAATATCCAAAAGCTTGCAATTTGCACGAATAAAGAAACGTATTGCTACGGTTTGTATTATTATTTTATATTTTCCTTCTCTATATAACTCTAATATATTTTTTAAATGTTTACGTGTAAAGATGGTTTAAAGGTAATGTGATAGAATGGGTTCTTATATAATTTCAAATCGAACTAGATAACATATCGCTCATGATATTATACCAAAATAGCGAAAATATTTTTTAATAATAAATATCGGTACGAGGGTTTTTGAAAATTTTACTTTTGTGAGTTATGTGAAAAATGTTTTCTATCGGTTATGTCTCAATATTTCTAAATATATAAAGGTAATTTTTCCTCTCATTTTTTGAAAGATGGAAGCCCTCATCGCAAATAATAATGATCATAATGATAGTATATATTTTTAAATTTATGTGATGAATATTGTGACGGTGCTTTGACCCACCGCCAATTTTGAACAGCCCTTTCAACCGCCACCACCTCTGCCGGCCGTGTACGCTAAGGCGGTGACGTCGTAAGCACGTGGGAGGATACCATTGTTTTTGACGGCCACCACGAGCCAACGTCCATTTTGATCCATCCATTTTCATCAAACCTTTTTCAACTCTTCTTTACTAGATTTTAATTTGTAACAATTTATTTATTTTTATATTTTATTTGTAATAATTAAAATAACTTGGAATGAATAATTGAATCATTTCTTCAAAACCAGACGAACCACCACAATATAATAAATCTTTAATGTATAATAAAAACTATGTTTAGTAAAAACATATCAAGTTAGAATCTACATTGGCCCTTATGATATTTCGAACAATTCCTATATAAACGAGAATACAGTAGAACTACCTCGCTGTAAAGGACAACACCTAATTGCAGAGCCAAAGTGTTCTTTAGGGAGAGGTGGCCTCTTACCAGAGAGTTGTTAAATAGTAAAAACGATAATTTTACAAATTAAAACTGTCCTTTGTAGAGAGGTGTACTCTAGAGGGGTGTCCGCTAAAGGGAGGTTCTACTATATTAATAAAATTATGACAATTTAAAAACCAATAAGAATAATAATGATAGTGTTAAAATAAAAACAAATGTTTTGATGATAAAATTCAATTCAAACTCAAATATATTTTATTAAAATGACTAGATTTCGTTCTGAATCAAATCCTATAAATGGTTCAACTTCAAGACATACTATTTCATACCATGTATTTTGATATTGAGAAGAGGCATATTGTCTATTAAATAATAACTTCTTAAAATCTCAAATTCTCTGTTTAAACGGTCAGTGTTTCCCAGAATCCATGTTCTACATCTTCCAGCTGCAAACTCCTTTCATTATTCTCCACAACATCTCCCGGCTAGCCTTTCCTGAACAAGCCCAGCTGGCCATAGCTGTCCATTCCCCTTTCCATCTTGTCAACCCTTACTTCACAGGCTACCAGAAATCCCGAGGCTACTGTAGCCTCATGCGATACTCGACGGTAAAATTCAAAATTTATTATATTAGGAAATAGACTAATTGATTAAAATAGTGTTTCAAGCTCTAAT